TATATATTATATATATTAGATTAATATATTGCTAAATGGATAGATTTTTTATCTCAAATTAGATGATCGCGAGTCGAACAACATCTTCGGTCGTGGCGATAGAAATATTATTTTCAAAGTTTTTGAGATTTGTAAGCGTGGAATACGGAATAATGAAATTAATTGGAGCGAAGATGAGTTTGATTTTTCGTTACTGAATGACAAAATTACTTTTATTCGTGAAGAAATTAACGATAGAGAGAGCAATGATGAATATAGAGATGAAATAAGAGGTATAAGAAGGCGAAAAATAAAAATAATAGATAGGGAATGTGAAAGCAATCAAATGAGATATCGCGGAAGATAGGGAAAATTCTAAATGGATAACACGCATAGAATCGGAAAATATATCGCGAAGAATAGAATTCGATGAAAAATTTGTAGGATTGCAAGTATCTTCGAATATAAATGTACCATTAGATTTTTTTAAACTATCACTTTAACTGTCTATTATTTTACAAATAAAAGTAATAAGTAAATAACGAAAAATCAAACTCATCTTCACTTGAATAATTTCATCATTCCGTATTCCATGCTTACAAATCTCAAAAACTTTGAAAATATTAATCATAAATAAATATATATTTATAATTATTTATAGTTATATTATATTATATATATATTTATACTTATATATTTACTAGAAAATATAATATTTCTATTCCCACGACTCACTAAAGAAGATGTTCGACTCACGATCACGGTTTAATTTGAGATAAAAAACCTACCCATTTAACAATATATTATTCTACACCTCATAAGATTATAAAGAGGTTAGAAATTTACGTAGCGATATTCTAAAACAAATCAAACATTAATAAATATCGTCACCGTTCGAGTTGCCGCCAATCGATCCAACCGAGAGTCACCGTTGGAGCGCAAAGGGTTTACGAGAGAAAAAAAAATTAATCGAGATCGCGATTACTGTTTCGATGCGACAAGGCGTGAAAAAAAAAGGGAAAAAAAAAGTAGAAAACTCGATCCTCGAACGGCGAGCTCGTGTGTCGCGCGGGGAAGGAGGGGAGGGAGAGGAGCAATCGATAAAGAAAAAAAAACACGTCCGTGACCATGATTACTTACGTAAAGGTAGTCGGTCGACATCGATCGATATTGTTACGTACCTGTAACAGAAATCGAAACGGGCGAGTTGTTATTTAAAAAAAAAAAAAAATCATACACGAATTTCGATTACCGGAATCACATTCTTTCTTTGCTTGTCAATTCCAGAACTTCTGTTATATCAAGAATCCGCAAGAATCGGAAAGAAACTCGTTAAAACGAGTGGAAAAATTTCGTTCCGTTTCGTTTTCGAGGAGAGGAAAAGAAAGGGAGATTTTCGAAAAGAGAGGGGACGATCGATCGCTTTTTAAAAAATCCGTTTGCCGAGAGCCGCTCGCGTCTCTTCTCTTCCTCCCCCCACCACCGCCGTGAGTGTCGA